TTTAAGAACTGCATCCAGTATGATCCTACCAAAATCTAGATTTTGAAAAGAAAAAAAAATCTAGATTGTCAAAAGAAATCTCAAAGTGTTAAATGAGTGACCACTGAAGATGTGGGCACCTCAAGTTAGGAATGAGAAACCATGTACGAACCCTACAGATCCAACCGAAGCTAATAAATCCTTTTGTAATCACTTCAACCACATCCACCTTTTCACGATCGAATTGTACTCCAAACTGTCCAAGTTACTGAAAGGATTAATGATAATATGTATCATATTTGTAAATAATAGCACACATAGTTTGATAACTATTTTCATGTGATGCAAAATTTCCATCCTAGTTTTTTTATCAGAAGCATATCATGTGAAACTCCACATGAAAACCTGCAGCCTTCAGATCATTATCACCTTCTAGTTTGACCACCCGAGAAAAAGGTTCCATCAGGTTGCCATTTGACGGCATATAAATGATATAACCCAAATTCAAGAGTATCACTAGACAAATTGTTTCACCTACAAGTCCTTCCTTTTCAAGCCATGCTTGTCAAGTTATTTAAATAAGTAGCATAACCACCATATCTGAAAAAAAAACACAAGAATATAGGCAATCCAAGTTCATAATGGGACAAGTTACCTTTGCTTTAAAGACGTTAAATATCTGTCATGACATTCTTGATGCACAGCATGCCCACAGGAAGAAATATGAATTCCATCACAATTTCTGGGTCCAATTCCACTAAATCTGGTAGCTGGAACAGTTGAATCTGAGCCTTTTGCATGGATGTGATACATGGAAGCCTGATGGATTTGGGAAGCCTTCCTTGATAGTGATGCAACATTGCCTCGTAGCATATAAGATTTTGCAGACCTGATTTGCTGTGTGTGCACTGCAGCTCCTGAAGTTGAACAATATGACTGACCATTTAAAGCACAAATTTCTCCTACGATAGACTGGTAAGCATCGTTTTCCAACATCTCAAGAGTCGATGGCAAACTTGTGGAACTATAATAGGAAGTAGTAGTTGGTTGGGTGCCTCTCCTTTCAGGAAGAAATTCACCAAATAAGCTCTCAAGTACGTTAATTTCTGCAGGTTCTATACCATAGGTAACATCAGGACCTGCACCTTGAACCAACTGAACTGGAGCTGTTGAGGCATTGCCAGATTGCTCCCCTTTAGTTGAAATTGTGTGCTTCTCCTTGTCTGACTTGTCAATATCATCCCATGAAATGGGACCGCTCTCAACAAAACTAGTGAGCCGTGATTTCTGTTTTACACAAAATCCACAAACAACATGGTAAATAATTATATATCTGGACAAAGGAAATCAATCTGATGGGATTCTATGTCAAATATATTCCACAACTGTATGGTAATGAATTGATAATTTTTTAATGTGGGTACTATCTTTGCTTATTTGTAAACCAGTATTAACTGTAGAGGGGTGAAAGGCCTGCATCCAAATAGCGGGTCACAATTTTGATACCTGGAGAAGAATCAAGAAACATAGTGGACTTTCGGTATCTGAACCCCGACAAAGTGAGCAGATTGGTGCAGACTCTTCTGTGGTGTCATCAAACACAGACACAGACACTTTCCGATCAGATTTCGTATTATATGTCTCCCCATTACCTTCTGAATTGAGGCTAGCAATAAACTTTGATTGCTCAGCTTTCATTTTTTCCTATAACAAACCAAGTTTGAATAAGAAAGACATGTAAGTACAATTTAAAGAAGAACAGACCTCACAACGATCAATAATTACTTTAAGCTCCAAAGCGATTTTGATAAGGAACATGAGCTTACGTGCTCTGCATTCTATTTATCAGTGGAAACTAGTAGCAAGCTTTTGTTCAGATTCCCTCTAATCATTGAGCACTAACTGCTGCAAAAAATTTCTTCATACAAGCCACCTCAGAAAGATTAAGATCATTTGAACTCATAGAAACCATGAACCAGATACCTACATGCATGCTATAGAGAGGGAGGGAGGGAGGGAGGCCAACCAGGTACTATAGGAGGAACTTCCTCCTATGACATTTAAACTCCAGACTCACTATATATACATTACCAGTCCAATAATTATGATTAAGATCATTTGAACTCATAGAAACCATGAACCAGATACCTACATGCATGCTATAGAGAGGGAGGGAGGGAGGGAGGCCAGCCAGGTACTATAGGAGGAACTTCCTCCTATGACATTTAAACTCCAGACTCACTATATACATTACCAGTCCAATAATTATGACCATTCATTGTGATATTCATGGAATATGAGAATGTCAAAGCATGTCGGCATTGTGCAATTGTATGGAAAATATCCTTCTAACAATTTGTATGTGCATATCTGCCTTGGGTGATCCAAACAGTTGGGAGGTTCCAACATGGCTCCACGGTCGTGGATTCGATTTCAGGCTGGGTTATCAAAGGGGGAAAAAGTTTTGTGTGTGCATGGGTGGTTGTTTGTATTCTAGTGTGCAAGTGAGGCATGGAAGAAAGATCCAATGGATGGCAAGCTGAGAATTTTGATGTAGTATGGCCCAATAAGTTCCCAAGTCATTGATCAAAAGTCAAAACCATCCATCTTCAACTACATACTATGTGATCAACGTCTGTGGATATCCTTCCAACAATTTGTGTGTGCATGGGTGGTTGTTTGTGTTCTAGTGGGCGAGTGAGGGGTGGGAGAAGGATCCAATGGATGGCAAACTGAGAATTTTATTGTGATATGGCCCAATAGGTTCCCAAATTGTTGATCAACACCATCCATCTACATATTATGTGATCAATGTCTGTAGAATTGTGGATAGTTCAAACCCCACTAATCAATAAACAACTATTCACAAAACTTAAGGATTTTAAGCTATGCTAAAAAAAGTGAAAACATGCATGGGCGAGTTCATGAAATGCGTCACACACATAGAATAAAGTGAAGCTATTAAACAGAACTCTTTGAAGCCCCACAGTAGTATTAGACAATGGTAACACAGTTTCATTGAGATATTCAATAACCAACAGCTCCACAGCTCACCTTCAGACAACTTTTAAGACAACAAATATCAGATGACAATATAATGGTGTGTTCCACTCGATGGGTGGCAATAAACTTAAATTTCCAAACTGTTGTGGTGAAAAATACTGCTCAAGAGACAGAAATAAGTACTGACATCTTACCATTATTGCAGCCTGACGTTCTCGGGCTCTTGCCCTTCGTGCATCTAGATCCGAAGTTGATGCAAAAGTACCTACTGTAGTGTTAACCTGGTGTTGTGGAATATTACAAATCAACTCTGGTGCCAATCGTTTAAGATTATCCAAGCAAGTTGTGCTTAACTGTGCAAACTTCATCAATAAATTCTCAATCAGGGAAGAAATGTTGCACTGTTTTATCTCAGCATAACTATAATCATTTTGTTCTTTATGCTTCCTCATCAATGATACTAGCAATGATAACAAGCTTTGGTTCTTCCAAAGAACTTCACCAGCAGCACCCATATCAAATTCTTCACTGGCGTAGGTAAGTATGGGGAACAAATCATCTGCCTGGCATGATGTATCTATAGATTCAATACATGATTTCTGATCACAGGGTAGCTGTGTTTCACAAACATCTAATGCTAGTGAAAGCAAGTGCAATGCTGTAATAAGAACACTGTCAGGAGCACGAGATAATGGTGATGTTTCAGTGAAAACTGCATAAAATATAACCGCCCGGATAATTTGGACGATAGATTTTGATGTTGCAATTCTTGAAATTGTAAGCAAAGGACCAAAAATTGCTGTCCATCGAGGTACTTGAGCATTGAGCGCGGAAACTTTGCAGAAGCGCAAATATCTCTCTTCTGCAACTTGTAAATCTCTAGAATTCCAACGTGGGTGATACAAGTCCAACTCTTTCCAGAGTGTTTCTCGGAGTGAATATTTACCCTGAATTGCAGAAACTTATCATTGTCCGCATAAAAAAAGATAAGCAATGACAAGAAGGGAGCCTTCATAAACTTGTCCTAATTTAGCCATATAAAGGAGTTAAACAAGGGGGAAAATGAAAAGAAAGAAAAAAAGCACCCAGAAGATAAAGGAATAAAAGAATCAAGAATGGGACCGCAACCTGCTTCATGCCAGATGGCTTTGAATATACAGCAATTGTGTCCAAAATGCTCCGGAGCTGATCGCATTTAGAAAGATCACGTGGAAGAGATTTAACGATTTGGCTATGAGTAGCATCTCCAATAGCCAGTTTATAAACCAACTCTCTCCGTAAATTTTCAGTAGTGGATAACCCACAGAATCTTCGTTCTTTGACTATTTGTATAATAAGAGTGAGCATTTCCTGAACCAAAACTGCTTCATACCTGAAATATATCGATTCAGTACTTAGATTATTGCTAGAATCCAGGTGGAAGCACGTCAAAGTCCTTTCTTTAATAGAAGCCATTTGCAATATGGTTAAAACAAAATGAAGAACATGGTATTAGTTTCAGGCTTCTTCTAGATTTTGGCTTTAGAAAAATAAACATCAAGTTTCATGAGATCTCAAAGATTCAGCTAATCCATTAAGTCAAAAATGCCCAAACACATAGAGAAAATTTCTAGAATAAAGAAAGTACCTACATCTTTGTGGACATTCAAGTCAAACACGACTATAGCCTGTATTATGCTCAAGCTTGTGCTAACACAAGCAGATAAGTATGAAATGTGTTCACAGATAGCAAGTTTTTCCTGTGTTAGTCCATGCAGGCAAGAGAGAGAGAAGCAGCATTGCCAACGGTTGCCAGCTGGCGAAAGATTTACGGGCTTTAACGTTCATATGTATATCTTATAGATAATTAATACATCAGACAGTAAAACAAAATAGAACTCAACATAGGTATTGAAATATTTAGTATTCAGTAACCACGAATATGAGAATGCTCCCTTATAAATGAAATCATTTAAAAAAGAAAGGAAATTATGAGTTTATCGAAATATTTTCTCTTCTTAATGAAATTAATTTATAATTCATGAACAGGATAAGGCATTGTAAACTTTAATATTCAGCCGCAAGGATTATGAATGTTTTTCCCAAAAAATCTGGATAAATTTTAAGCAGGGAGCAAAGGTAAAGGGTTTTATCATTTTCTGATAATGAACTGATGTTTTACATAAAGCTTGAAGAGATTCTCATGATTGAGCTTTGACTTAAAAGTTAGACTATCTATGGTCCTCCTAAGAACGGTAACCAATTTTAACAAGCAAGTATAACGGCAAAAGATCTAGAAATGTTCATTAACAAAAGTGAGACCACTAGATATTTACTATTGTCTTATATCAAGAAAAAAGACAGAAGGAGAAAACGTAACAAATGTATGCCAATTCTAATATGGTGGTAATCTTTCCCAAGAATAAATGACCCAGGCATTTTGCAAAAGCTGACCATTTCATCTAACCAATGACTTAAACAACTGGATGTGGTATCAAGCAAGACGCATGACACTGCAGAGTATAAGACAAAAAGCAAACTGAAATACTGATGAATAAAATATTCTACAAGCATGCAACTAAAAACTCAATTCAAAGCTTTAATTTTGTTCGAGGCATTCATATGTACTTCAGAAAAAACACATAACAAAGACATGGTACTATCATGAGCTATAAGATGCATGCATGAAAGTAGACTGCAGATATTGCACAAGGTATTCAATATAAAATGGACAAACATATCATTAAGACGTGTAATAACTCTAAAACGATAGATTAGAAGCGCACTCGTTATGATCTGCAAGATTCAAAGATGTATAATTGGATAAGCCAAATCTTTCTTGGATTCTCTTCACAAATGAATCTGGAGGTGCTAATGCAGCACAACACTGCAACAAAAACAAATCCGGCTCTAACCCTACTTCCAACCTGAAAAGATCGAAATATTAGAAATCATGAATCGAAACATCATAAAGTTGATAAAATATCAAGCGAAAATAGAATAAACTCACCACTGGAAAGAACGATACCACTCACAGCTTAAAATGGCTGCATCACCATTTCTACGCCACATGCCAGCACGCACTTGAGCACAGAACACCCTTAACCTTAGAGGATTTTCCATTATGTATGCAGAAAATCCACAGGGATGTACACCTTCTAAAACTTGTCCAAAAAATTCATGCTGATGAGATGAAGTCCGTGTAAGCTTATCATTTGCCTTGACAAGGATTCCAGTTTTCTCATAAAAGGTTTTCAGTGCTTTCCGCAACAATAATGAAAGAAAACGATGTAAAGGAATATGGAAAGAGATTTCTTGTGAACTGACATCATACTCTATAATAGGCCAATTTACCAAGTTAAATATTCTGAATGCTTCCAATTCCCTTCCAGAACTTATCTCCTCAAAAGAAGCATCTTGTCCCACGCTCTTACTGGAGAATTCAGGAACCATATCATAATTGTCACTAACATCCGCTTGAGGGTCATCCTTGACATGTGCCTCTAGTTCACCAGATGCAGGAGAAGAGGCAAGCCTCTCATGAATGGAAGGAACTTGGTCTCCATCAAACCCCACCCCAGACAAAGATGTTATATTAACCCTATTCCTACTTTTCCTAGTGCTAAATGATTTCTTTCCCAAAGTAAAAATGCTTGAACCATTGCTCCCAGATGCATCAGAAGAAAAAAGATTGCCCCTGGGAGTAGAACATGGTTCCAGCCAATTTTCAATAGTTTTCAAGCACTCAGAAATTAACCACATGGCAGAAGTTGGAATAGTTGGGCAGTTCTCCCTATCAGTACTTATATGATTTGAAGCATCAACAGGACAGCTTATACTACAATCAGAGCTTGACGGATGAAGCAGTCCTTTATCACCCTTTGTTTCTTTGGGCTCGGCTACAGAAAATGCTGCGCCTACCAAAAGAGAATGGACATTTCCAAGGTAATAGCACAGTGCAAAAGCTGCTGGGACATTGTCATTGTCATCTTCTGTGTGAATTCCTGTTGTCCTTCTCTGAGGGTCCATACCCTGCACAAGACTTAGCAGCCGCAACCAAGCTCTTGGGATATCAGGTCGTTCCTCAGCAATATATCTAGAAACTTCATCATGGCTCATGACATAGCGTGTATCCTCAACCAAACGAAGTGTAGTATCATATATACTTGACCATCTGCTCACCTGCAAAATAAGCACATTCATCCACAATGGGATATGATAATGGTTAACATACGCATTAGGATATGATATGGTTAACTCAGTGGAGGAAATAGCCCTCAATAGAACTAAGCAGGTGTAGCTGACCCCCACACTACTCTTGTTGGTGTATCCATCTTATGATATCAATTATCGACAAGTACTCACATTTTATGATAATATTTACAATAGAAAAAGGATTTAAAAAAGAAGATCATATACTTAAGTATAAAAGAAAATAAGTCATGAAATTGATCTAAATATCTCAATCTTATTTGCTATAATTAGTAATACTAGACTGAATTTCAAGCAAAATTAATAAACACATTCATGATGCTGCGCTGTTCCAAACAGATGCATCTTTAGGACACAGGAATCTATACTTTACATGGTTAACACACAATCAAAAAATAAGACTCGCACTTTCTTAAATAAGCATCTAAATTACCTGCAAGCGACCATCTTCTCCAACACAAGAAATAAAGATGTCCATCAAGCATCCAAGCAGAATGCCTAGTAGATCCACCTCCCTTACCAATCGCGAAGTCAAAACAGGCACAGTAAATATTTGCACGGAGAAAGTTGATAACAATGTATACTTCTCAAGCATTGAATCGCTGGATTCTTTTATTATTTCATTCACAGTTACTGGGTAGTATTCTATAAGAGATTTTGCGAACTCATATTTAAATAGAGGCTCCCCTATAAGCTTTAAGAGCAACTCATGGAGCTTATTCACAACCTCTTTGTCCAAGAACCTCTCCGCCCTTACAAGAACATCTATCAAACACGAACATTCAGATATCCTCCCAGAGATGAAACTCAGCAAACTTTCGCTACAATTGCAGAAGTCAAGCAACATACTAACAACAGCAGAGGAAAACTCATCTGCAACCTTTTTGATGTCACTGCGACTGCTGTCTCTAGCATGCTTCCAGTGCTCTGCTGACACAACCTTGTCCCGCCAACAAGTAAGGAGGATATCAATAACGGGTCCCACGGATCTCTCTAACTCCTCAGATAGAGGTTGAATCTGTTGGATACCTTTATGCTTCGAACAGAAACCCTCTCGTTTCCAAGCTGTCTCATCTCCACAATCACAGCATCCACCACCAGTGTACATAATAGAGTAATCATGGTCTTTGTGGTTACCGTTCTTAAAACAAGGAACACAAATTGCACAAGTTGGGTCATGCTCACATGTCCGGCAGCGATAAGCCAAGTCATTCTGGCCCCAAACGGAGCCACACACAGCCCTGTGACCAGCAGCTCTCTCTGCCATCTCCTTCAAACAAGCTTGTGGATCACAGCCAAACATCATCCATTGTATCCATAACAAACTTTCAGCATATAACTTTTTCAATTTAGCCCTTCTAGTGCCTCCTCCAGACTCCTTCTTGTATATCCTCCGAATTTCAGCAACATCCTCATCGGTCGGTAAGATAGAAGAGACTAAATTAGGTATCGACACACCAGTATGCTTCATAAAATCTACTAGAAATGATGGAGTCGGTGGATCGATTTGGTCCAAAGGAATTCCAAGCTTGACAATCCTCTGGGAATTTTAAAGAACAAACGTCAGAAGGCACTTGACCAACAAAAATTTATCCATTGAACTACCACTGAAGCCAAAATTTACAGTATACAAGAAGCAAATTTTTTAATTCATGGGGTCACCCGATCAAGAAGCTAAGCAAAAAATGGGAAATATCATAGTTTATGATCAGAGGAAATTTCATGAAGAAAAGTTCTTACAATCAATTTTTTTTTTACTCTTTATCATCCTAAACCTAGCTCGCTGATTAATTAAAAAGGCAATTTTGCAATTCATTCTCTACGACCAAAACTGCAGCACAATTAAAATCAATAAACCACAAGAAAATCATCAAAAAGAACAAATAAATTGCGCACTAATTGAAGATATACCAAATATATAAATGAGATGAAATGCAAAAATGTTCACAATACCCATGCAACCAAAATTTCTCCACTGAGCTACCACTATAGCCGAGATTTACAAAAATACTCAGGATAGCAATTAGAACACATAAAATTTATGATCGGAAGGAAAAAATCATTCCAAGTAGCTCTTAAACCAATTATTTTACTCTCCATCGTCATAAAAATAGCTAGTTAATTAATAACCATTTAAAATTGAAATTCCTTCCCCGCAATCAAAATCTGAATCACTACATTACAATCAAAATCAACAAAAAATCGATTAAACAATCAAACTTTCGCCGCAGAATCTCACCTGAACGATGCGTTCTCGGGGAGACAACGCCGGATTCTTCTCCGGTGGCGGCGAATCGATCTCCATCCCCGCCATCATCCGAATCCAATCAGCGCAACTCCAATAGCTCGATCCAGAGCTCCGACGCCCCAGGATTGCGACCGGAATCAGAAAGCCCTAATTTTTTCCCTCAACCTTTCTCCCTTTTTTTATTTTTTTTCCCCCCTAGGGTTCCGAGCGTCTGACTTGACGCCTGCTACTGTGGCTGCTGATTTTATATATAAAACGACGAATTTATTCGCCGCTTTATTGATAAAGAATTGGAATTTTTTATCTGTTACTTGTTATTTGTTGGCGTCTCCAACCGCCATTTAGTGTATGTATTCTACACCCTCAAATTTGATAAATTGCAATAAAAACGTTTTCCCAATTTTGCTGTTAGGGAGGTTAGTCACCTAGAACTTAAAATTAGAACTGTGATAATTTGTGGGATAAATTTTTAAGGTGTTAGTCATATAGAACTAAAACTAAAACAAAATTTTACAGTGTTAGTCAAGTAGAACTCTAACAAAACTAGAATTAGGATAATGGTACAAAATTATCCTACTTTTTTATTTTTCTATACAAAAATGAGATTTCTAGTCTCTCAAATTATTCCAAGTTTTAACTTGGAACTAGGTGGTAAAAAACTAGAACTCATATTTATTTTGTTATTTCTTATTTTTATATTTTTTTCGTTTACTTCTTTCCTATTATGGTTATCACCATCATTAGACCATCATTATAATAATAATTATCAATATCTTATAGTCTAACCAAAAGTTATTTAATAGTAAATAACATTGTTGTAAGCAATTATGAATTATCAATCAATAATAGTAAGTTTAAATTACATAAATAGTATTTATATATTAAAAATGAATGAATATATGTTTTATGATTATAAAAATTTATCACATGTTATTTTATCAAAATATATCGCTTCACAAAATTGTTCCTCTTTATTCCACTAGAATATCTCACTATCAAAAAAATTATTCCACTTTAATAATTATCCTATTTTGCATGAAAATGTTCCAATTGACTAACGCTCCCTTATTAAAAAATGTAGTGTGTTCTAGAGAAGGCCATTATGATGATGATAATGATGTCCGTTTATTACCGACGGGACATACTCAAAGGAATTAGAATCATAACCTCCTCGTTTTAGCAATATCTTTTCTCTCAGATTGGCTGTGATGGAAATTTTACTCCTCATACTTAAGCTCAATGTGAATTTTCTCATTTAAATGTAGTTACTTGGAGGGAAATTGCTCTAATATTCTTGTTTCCTTTCACTTTGACTGATGTAGTGTCCGTTTCTCATGAATTTTAATCCTCTCTACTATAAGAAAAGCAACGGAGATACCACTACTTTTTATACCAACTGTTAATTATTTTGTAAGTGATTAAGATCCATTTTAAACTTAGCACTCACAATGTCACAATGTATTGCGCTCCTACGATCATACCCAACTAAAAAACAAATCATAAGCATTAATTAGATAATCAACAAATCTCATAATTTAGTAATCTCTCCATTATTTTATTTTTGTATTGAAGAGGATTCGAATCCTTCTCTATTGATTAATGAATTGGTTTTCCATCTAAAATAAATGAATAAATAAAGTGTGTAATAAAAAAATTATTTTTCAAGAAAACATAAATTGCATATATTACTAGGAATAAGGAGCTGAACTACTTTGCTTGTAATTATCAAATAATCAAATATATTAAATTTTATTAGATAATAATGTACTTGTATTGAAAATGGGGAGAGCCCTAGTTAAAACTAGTATAATGCACGTGATTTGCACGTGAATGTAAATGTTTTAAGTTTCAATTTTTTTATTAAATAGTAAAGGTATGTGTTAATAAATAATTTTGTATAATAAAATTGTTTAAAAAGAAAGGTATGAATTAATCATTATTGTGTAGTTATTGTATTAAATGTTCTTCTTATAATGATTGCCCAACGCTGACTTTTTTAAAATAAGTCCACCAAATCTACTATTGTTCTTAAATAAGTTTATCAAATCTATAAGTTCTCTTAAATATGACCCTATAACTTGAAAGTTGTTAACTTAATTCTAAATTAACTAAGCTGCATTAATCTTGTTAGATTTTTTCTGATGTTCCCTAGAGAGTTACACTTAATACCAGCAATATATTGCGATAGTTACTTCTTTTTATAATTATTTAATAGGATAAATTACATTAAACCCTTATGAACTTTCAGCCTCTATGGACTTTCAAAATCACACTAAAGCCCTAATAACATTTTTATTTCAAATAAAACCCCTAATAATTTTCTAAAATTTGCATTTAACCCTATAAATTACAGCCAGAAAATGCCATTAAAAGGCATTTTGAAAGTTATTGGGGCTTTGTCGTAATTTATCTAAAAGATATTGGAGGTTTTTTGCAAAAGTTATTAGAGGATTTTGAAAGTTCATAGAGTCTATATAATGTAGAATGATAAAAGTTCATAAGGGTTTACTGTAATGTACCTTATTTAATATAAAAAAATTATTAGTTCAAGTAATACTATTTAAATAATTATACTATCTACATACTATTAAATATTTATCTAATTTAATTTTTTTAATTATGCTCTTAAATAGTTTACTACTATAATTAGTTATAAAATTTTATTTTACTATCATTAACAATTAATAGTACTATTATTAATATTGAATATTTTTTTATAAAAAGATTAGTTTTCAATCATTACTAAGTATAGATTATTCGGTATCATGTAATAATCTTTGAGAAAATATTCTAAAATTAATATTAAATTATTTATTTAATTTATTGAATAATATAATACTAAATAAATAAAATAGTTCATAATTTATGTGATGTTATTAAAATAACTACACTATTTATGATATTAGATATCTATTCTATTTATTTTATTACTAATTGAATTATAGTATAATTCTTAATAGCATTTAGTAATATATTATTTTATGTATACTATTTTTTATTATTTTATTATAATTCATAAATAATTATGATAATAATAATTTAATTGATTACTATTAATAAATGTGTATACTTATTTTATAAATTATTATATTATATTATTGTTATGGGGTACAACTATTTCCAAATGTATGATCTGATGAGTCGACATCTCGATCAGCCAGACAAGCCGACACGATCTGCCGACTCGGGAGGCAGTGTTAGTCGGTACGAAAATCAGCATTCCAGAGATGCAACACTCTTCGGAGTCGACCTTAAGGACAGTCGAGTCGTCACTCCCTCAGTCGAGTCGACATCATTCCTCAAAGGCGACTCGAGAGGCGGACTCAGTTGATCCTCTTCATATCAAAAGATCGCTACTCAACGTTAGCTAGCACTCCTCCCGAGGGCGACCTTGAATATTATTTCTCAATATTATTTAACCTTTGATGATCATCATTATGTCTCCGTCTTCTGCCGTCTGAAGACTCATTGGCTGCTAGCTCCCAATGTCGTTGAAGTGACCTCTCGTCACTCACAAACAGACAAGACTTGTCGGCTGCTGGATCCCAATGTCATTGAAGTGACCTCCCGTCACTCATAAACTGCCACGTATAAAACAAAGGGTGACTCAACCTCCAGCTTACCCCTCACCATCGTCTTACAGTACACTCACAAAGTGACCAATCTGCCCTGGCATCCTTTATAAATACAGATGCTATTCGCCATAAAAAGGGGATTCGCAAGTTGACAGGTTCGCAATCTAAACTTTCCTCCTGATCTAAATCTGAGAGATCATCGTCTCTAATGCACATAGCATAAGAACACAGTTCTATTACTCCAATCAAACTCAAGTTCACCAATTGACTTGACCGTCGGAGGTACCATGGGGGAAACGAGCCCAATACCCCACGATTCTTGCATGTGCAGGTGATCCGTTCGCCCCGAGCTCTAAGAACAAGGCATAAAGTCGAAGTAGGAAGCGGCCCCCCTCGATGGTTCAACCCCTCGACGACTCAACAACTCTGCAACTTCAATCGTAAACTCTAACTAAGTAGCCAGACATAAAGTCGGAAAAGGAAGAGATCCCCTTCATCATCCTACATCACTCCACAAGCATCCTCTTCTGGATTAAAAGCACAGATTACATGAGGAAGAATACATCGTTCTTCTTTCACCCCACTCAAATTCACTACCTTACTTGACCGTTGGATCTGTAGGCATCGAAAATTGCCTATAGGTCTCCACGAACAGCTCAAAGCTAAGAGAACACGATGAACGTTACCATCTGGTTCACAGAAGCTTGATTGATGTCGACGAATGCTTGAAGTGAATCGGCAAACTATGTGAAGCAACAGAGTGTCAGAATAATAAAGATACGAACTGATCGGGAGCCCCGTGTCACTTACAAAAGACGAAATGCCCTTCGTGTCTCATTTATTCCATAGATAATCTAATCATTGGAGCTTATAGAACTCTTCGTCGGCTTTCCAACGCACTTCGAACCACTCAAATCCGAGTTCGGACGAAGAAGTTACGGCGGAAACGAACAAACATACAAAAAAAAGCGGCGTCTTAACACTTCGAGGTGTCTCGGCCAAGCGAGACACCCCAAGGTGTCTCGGCCAAGGCAAGGCCGAGACACCCTAGGGTGTCTCGGCCCAAACCGAGACACCCTAGGGTGTCTCAGATCTAGGGGAGACACCCTAGGGTGTCTCGGATCAAGTGGAGACACCCTGGGGTGTCTCCAACGTAGATTTGGGCCTTTAGGTGGTTTTAACCGCTCCAAACTCCCACGGGCCTATAAATACAAGCCTCAGGTCCTTATTTTTCAGGGGTTGGAATTCTCGTGCCTCGGCGAAGCCCTGCCGGATTGAAGACTGAAGGTGCACGGATTTCAGAGAGGACGAGGAGAGATCGGATCGAGTTCTTCAACGTAAGAGAGAGAGATTCGTCAGATCTACAATTTCCCGGATCCGTTCCTTAGGATTATCCCGTTGCGGTAATCTTAAGAAGAGTGATTATCTCGCTTCGCCGAGATAAGAGCTACAGTTCTCTCGATCCCTTCGCAGATAGACGAAGCTCTGCCCAATTTTTCAGCAATCAGATCTGATCGACGGTAGTCCACAGATAAACCCCGGCACAGGCAAAGATCCCACGCAAGAAGAAGACCGATAAACGATCTCTGCATTTGTTTGATAAAGTTGTAAACTTTTTATTTTCATTGTGTAAGGAGATCTTATAAAAAGATCAACTTTTTATTTTATT